TCCCCAGCTTCTTGGTGTTTCTAACAGAGAATTTGAAACATTTCTTTGAGAACATTATCAAACATTCAAAAAGGTTGAAAGAATTGTACACTGAATGCTTATGTTCCCACCATCTGGATTCTGCAGTACCAACTTTATCACATATCTATCCATCCCTCTCTCCCTTCATCAATCCATTTTACTCTTTGATGTGTTTCGAAGTAAATTGCCAAGAGACCCTGGCACATTCTGGCAGTCGAACAGTGGATTGCAGTGGCATACAAAAGGAAAGATTTGGTTGTTATGTTCACAGCCCCAGGTGTCACAAATTTTCTCCCCAAAATTTTGTACCAATCTTGTGGCGCTTCCTCCCATGATACCTTTTACTTCTGGGCTCTCAACTTCAGATGTCTCCAGGGGTCTGGGAGGCAATGAGAGAGGGAGCGAAGCAGCCCTAGTATAAGACGGGGGAGTGGTGAGAGCTGAGGACGTGGACCGCGCCTGCCCCATAGAGAGGCATCCACTGTCAGTGGCAGCCCATTGCTGCCATGGGAGGCTCAAGAGGGTTTTGATGTGAAGTTTTTCACTTTTTAAATGTTAGCTAATAATGTTTACGTACTGGGCAAAGGGTGTCAAGGATGACTCCTTGTGTATGAGTTTTCTATAACTGCCATAACAAATTACCATAAATTTAGCAGCTTAATCAACACAAATTATTCTTACAATTCTATAAGTCCGAAGTCCGATATGGGTCTTATGGGGCTGAAATCAAGGTGTTGGCTGAGTATTCCTTTCTGGAACTCTAAGGAAATCTTACTTATCTGCATTTTGGGCAGAATTTAGTTCTGAGGAGTGAGACTCCTATTTCCTTGCTGGCCATCAGTGAGGACTATTCCCAGCTTCTAAAAGCCACCCACTTTTTTGGCTCATGACCCCCTTTTTCCGTCTTCAAAGCCAGCAGAGGTGAGTCCAGTCTCTCTTTTATCAGAAAGCAATGAAGCTATGAGGACCTTGTGGTCGTGTTCAGAGGACTATGAGCCAAGTTGAGAAGACTCCCTAGGGCTAAAGATGGGCTTATTTGGAAACCAGTAAGAATAATACTTGCACTGAATTGAAACACATTAATTAGGTTAAAATTTATGAGTTTACAATGAAAACAAAGAATTGGCCTGTGGAGGATGCTAGTCTTGAAAATGAGTAAACACAGAATCAGGGACTGCTCCCACCTTTCATGTACTTCAGGGCAACCAAACAGTCGATGTGGTCATTTTTCTCAATAGAAGTATTCCACCTAGTAAATGGGGAATGATAGAATTAGAATATCACAATTTTGCAAACCCCTGATGAAAAGGGATTTAGACATTGATCATCAATGGCCACCAACATCACAAAGGAAGGACAACTGTGTATCTCATGGGATGCCCACCCCAGCATCTAGGAAGAGGTTGCCAGAATATCTCATTGAATTAGGCCAAGCCTCTAGATGTAATTACCAGTTCATGGGAACCAAAGGAGGGTGGGCAGAGGAACATGTGCAGAGGTACCACAGCAATGCAAGGAGCAGAATGCAGACTGTAGGACAAATGACCCAGTTTCTTGAGCAAATAAATTATAAGGCGAAAAAGAGACTCAGGAGACACATCAGCTAAAGGCAGTATATGGTCCTTGTCTTGATCCTGATTTATACAAACCAACTGTAAAAAGACAGAAGAAGATCACGGAAATGTGAACACCAACTAGATATGTGATGACGTTAAGGAGCTATATTGATTCTTTTGGGTGTTATAATGACATTAAAGGCCCACAGGGCAGGGCCTTCCACCCCCCCTCTCCCCAAACTTACCATAAGGCTAGTGGAGAGCAGGAGAGAAAATGTGCCTTCTGCTGGTAGAGCCCAAGGAGGGAAAGAAGGGGGGCTGAGCCAATGAAGCCCAGTTTATTCTTCCAAACTCGTGGATAAGTGGCTTCTCCTCCATTGGAGAGGAATGTGCAGGGGGTGGGGAGAGAGACTGGTGTTACTGAAGGGCTATGCTCCGCATGGGGTCCTGAGGATGGCAACCACGTGTTGTCATGGCTGAGGCTTAAACGAGTTGGTGCATGTCAAACACCGAACCCCAGTGCTGCTCCTCCAGCACTGCCTGTCCTTGTTTGGGGTCTTGTGTACCTATCCCTGTGTACTGTGTGTGCAGAGATTGGACGCAGGGCTTCAGGATGCCAACGAGAAGGAGGTTCTGAAGTGACTGTGGCATCCCCGGTTTTCACTTGTGTCCTGAAGGCTGGAGAGGAAGTGGGATTCGCAGTTAGCCAAACCACATGCCTAGTTCTCTTGACAAGATGAGAGCTGAACCTGTCCTTTCCCTGTCCCCTGTGTCTCCCTCTAGCTGCAACAACAAACGCTACCTGGAGACACTCCCCAACACCAGCATCATCATCCCCTTCCACAATGAGGGCTGGTCCTCCCTCCTCCGCACCGTCCACAGCGTGCTGAACCGCTCACCCCCGCAGCTGATCGCCGAGATCGTGCTGGTCGATGACTTCAGTGATCGAGGTAGGGCCCATCCCACCGAGCTTCCTGCTCTTCATGCTTTACCCCGTGACTTGCCAGAGGGGTGGCAGGTCTACCCTTCTTCAGCAGCAACACCATAGAGGCCACCGTTTACTGATGCGTGCTGTGTGCCAGGCCATGAACCTGGCACTGCGCACATATTATCTCGTTTAGTCCTCACAACAACCCAAGAAGTTCTATTTTTATCCCATTTGTAGAAATGCATTAAGCTTCAAATAACAGAAAACTTGATAAACAATAGCTCAAACAAGTAAGGGGCTTCTTTATTCATTCATTCATTTCATAGAATAAGAATTGGTACAACTGCTCAAAGCTATCAAAGAACCAACTTCTCTTCCTCCTTTCTCATCCTCATGGTCCCAAAATGGCTGCTGTTCCTCTGGAAAGTCTACCTTTCAGATAAGAAGAAGGAAGAAAGGCAAAGAGAACAAAACCTCCTCCTTGCAAGCCTTTGCCTTCTCATTCAGGAAAGACTTTTGGTCAGAACTCTGACATCTGGACCCCTCTCCTTGCAAGGGTAGCTGGGCATGTGATTGACTTGGGGCCTCTTTAGTAGAGATAGGAAAAGGAGAAGTGGATTAGCAGTATCGAGTGAGCCCCACTACAGTACCTGCCACATGGTTTAACATGAGAAAACTGAAGGCCAGAGAGATAAACTGACTTACCCTTAGTCACACAGCTCTTAGGTGGTGATATAGTGACCAAACCATGTCTGACCCTAAGCATGTGATCTTAACCAACAGACTACAGTGCCCTCCGTCCAGTCATCTCAAGCTTATTCTTTGCATCAAAGGTTTCACCAGTTGCAGCAAAATCATGAGAACTCCTCTCCTCTGCTCACCTTCTTGCAGAGGCACTAAGTATTGAAGAGAGGGAGTCTGAGTGCACTCCAGAATAATCAAAGTTGACCTGCCTGTCACCCCATTTGTAATACCACACTCTTAATTACATGCCTTTAGTACAGAGGCCTGAGTGGTGTGTGTGTGTGTGTGTGTGTGCACGCACATATACATACACACACATCTTAAACCCTATCCTCACCACCTCTAAAAGTCTCTCTTAACTCTTTACCTATACTCATTCTCATGAGACCTTTTCCTTTTCCTTCTTAGCTCTTGTCACAGGCAGAATTAAAATGCAAATAAGTATAGCATGCAAACATTGTGTGCATGTGCTGTCTGCTTGCAGGTCTCCGTGACCAGGCTCTCCCTCGTGAGAGCCTGGGCCACTGCATCAGTCTTGTTCACCATTCAGCCTCAGCTCCTTAGGCAGAGTAGATGCTTAATACGTGTTTGATGAATAAATGATCAGAGCTCATTTCTTCTGTTCCCTTAGTATTTCCACCGTGGTTACAGTAGCATCTAGTGCCTTGTATGAGTTTATTTGTATCCTCGAAATGAGATCTGTGAGCCCACTGAAGCCTGGGGTGGGTCTCCTAGTCTCCATAGCTCTGTTCTTTAGCAGAGAGCCTGGCCATAGTTACATCTTTGATCCTGACCCTGTAACTTACTAGATCTGTGACTTTGACCCAGTCACCTGACCTCCGTGTGCTTCAATTCCCTCATCTGTAAAACGGGACCACAACAGTATGTACCGCTTAGGTGTCTGTGACTATTAGATAAGTTGTATGTGAAGTGCTCAGGACAGTGTCTGCCACATAATGAACATTAGAAATAAATATTTAAGCTTGGTATTGTTATTATTGTTTTCGACATTATTTATGGCTGGTTGTAGGAGGCGAAGTCAGAGATAAATGTACAGATGTGGAAGTTCAGGTATAGTCTTCCCCTTTCTGTGAGTAAAGGGCTTTGAAAATTGTAAAACACTAAACAAATGTCCTGTTGTCTCACCTCCCACTTGAATTGCCTCCTTGTCATCATATAGGGGGCTTCTATGTCATCTCATTTATTCTTACGACAGCCTCTGAATGAGACCTTGAGATCCCTGGGTCTCTGATGAGGAACTGGGGTTAACTGACTTGCCCAGAGTCACACGGCCAGTGAGTGGAACACCCAGGCCTGTGGACTCAAAGCCCAGAACCCATGCTGTATGTGTGTTACATGCCATTGAGACAGCTCTGGCCCCTGGCAACCGTATGAATGAGCGATGTCCCAGTGTCCCGTCCTCAACAGACCTGCTCAGCTCCTATAGATGCACGCCTATGTTTTCTTTCATGGAGTCAGTCCCTATTATACTGGTTTTTCTCTTTTCCCACTGTCTTCTATTTTTCCCAGCATCATTGTCTTTTCCAAAGAACTCTGCCTTCTCATGATACACCCGAAGTAGGACAGCTTTAGTTTTGTCATATTTGCCTCCAGTGATGTTTCAGGCTTAATTTGCTCTGGGACCAACTTGTTCATCTTTCTGGCTGTCCAGAATATCTGTAAAGCTCTCCTCCAACACCATATTTCAAATGAATCCATTTTTTTTCTATCTGCCTTCTTTACTTCCAACTTTCACATCCGTACACAGTAATTGGGAATACAGGGGTGTGAATGAGCTCCACCACCACTTTCCACCCCCCTTTCTTCTGCTTTCCTTGACCCGTCTCCTCTCCCAACCTCAGCCTTCTCTCGGTTTGGGCCCACCACCCACAGGCCCCGGGCTCACAGCCAGGCAGTGAAAAGGAAGATAAATGAGCGCAATGCTCAAGTGATTTCTTGATTTCCTTGTACTATGCTGCAACATAAACAGCCTCTACTCCTTGGGGCAAACACCTGAGCCCTCCCTCAGGTATGGGCTGCCTGATCTGAGCAGGCTCGCTGCCATGATTGTTCTCGAGGTCCATGGTGGTGAGGCTTGCTCTCACTTACTCACTCTCTTGCTCTTTGTACAGCAGCCACAATGGCTCCCATCCTGACTCGGATCTTCCCCTGCTTTTCCCTCCGCCTGGACATTCTCTTCCCAGCTCTTCCTTGCTCCTCTCACACCATCTTCATTTAGGTCCCTCACCAGTGCCACTAGTCACTGTTCCCGTGTGTGATTTCATGGCTATTTGTTGACCTTTTTATTGTCAGTTTTCCTCGCTAGACCATTTGTGGTCTAGAAGCAGGTAGTTAATAAACGTTTGTGAATGAATGAATGAATGAATGAGAGGGAAGGAAGGAAGAGGAAATAGTATATGGCAACTACATCCACACACACAAAAAGCTATCGGTAGTAACAGGGTTGCCTTCAGCAAGCTAGATGGTTGTGGCTGTGGAAGACACAGCAGTCTCTTCTGTGACTGGTGCTGGCTCATGTCTTTGTGTTTCAAGCTCAGGTCCCTGTCACCAATTATTTTTTGAGTAATCGGCACAACACTTGGCAGGTCCCTCTCTGAGTATTGCAAGGCATTAACCCTCCGGAAGCAGAATAAACCAAGCTTCAATTGGATTAGAAATGAGTATTTCTCCTTGTTTAATTACAAAAGAATTTCAAGGTCATCTATGCTGCTGGCTGTCACCACATGCCTCCCAGAGCATTTGAGAGCCCAGGAATGCACAGTTAGGGGTATGGAGAATCTTACAGGTGCAGATGGGGTTCAGCCACCTCTCCTGGCATGGTCCGTATTTGGTTTTTTGAAAAATGAAAAATTGTTCACTAATTCGAGCTCCACTTTTTAAAAATGTGTAAAAATCACAGATGTAACTCAGCCTACTCATTTTACAAGTGGAAACAAAAGGCCTGTGGCAGTGGACAGGCTTAACACAGCAGGGAGGGACAAGAATCCCATCTCCAGGCTCCTAGAAGAGTCTCATCCTTCCTCGCCTTCACTGGTTATGTGAAGCATCTGCAGAAATGCATTACTCCTTTCTATTCCCAAGGACACTTCTCAATATATTACTTTTCCATTGTATTAAAGAGCAAACTTTCTGCTAAAAAGAGCTCATTATCAAGCACACCCAGTCCTGGATTATAATGATTTATACCTCTAATATCCTAATTTCTTTAATGTTGTACTCAGGGATAAAAATAACATGACACCCCTGCCTGCCCCCATAAAAAATGTAACAATTGAAAAAGAAAAAGTAAATTTCATAGGAAAGACTTTCTCTCCAAGTGCATCTACTTCTCCAGAGAGCAAAAAAAATTAAACCGATGTGCCACACCCACTCCCCAATAAAATAGAAAAGAGACCAAATATTGTCCCATTTCACAGATGAGAGTGACAACAAAGGCCCCTGATTGTTGCCCCTTTTTCTCAATGAATCAGGTATAGAACACAGAGGAAAACTCCTATCTCACACCCCTCAATCCTGCGGATTAGTGGTCAGATTTTGCAACTTGCATTTTTCAGAAAAGCAATCATTATTTTTGTTTCAAGAAGCAATTCTCAAGGCAGCCTTGGAAGAAAACTTACTCAGCAGTGATTGTTTTAAAAATGAGATTTGGGAGAAACAATTTCAGAATTATGGAGAGGCCTGTCTCAAGTACGACGAATATGGGCCATCATAAAAGACAGATTTCTCTGGGCCACATGAGCAGAGGCATTCTCAGAGTTGAAATTCATAGATGCTAACTACAGGCTAGATTGGTGCTGCCTAGCAGAAGGCATTTTCCTCTGAAATGAGTCTCCTCCAGGATCCTCAGGGCAACTAATTGTAATTCAGCTAAGGGTCGAGACCTTGGGTAGGAGACAAAATTGGAGCAGATGAATTCTTGAAATAAGATCCTGAGCTTTGTGCAGGCAGCACTAGGGACTAAAGTGGAGGCAGACGCTGACACCAGAATAATCCTGGCCCTGCTTACAAATAGGGCACTGCAGAGTCTTGGGGTCTTCAAAAGCTCTTCAAATGTATAAGCTTTGCTTGAGGATTAGGAGGATATGGAGGTGTTTTCGCACTAGTGGGAGAGAGAGGTGAAGGTGTGGGGTGGCAGACTTACCTCCAGACTGCACTGCCTGGATAGGAGATTTTTATTAGGAAACAACAAGAAAGGCCTTTGTTCATTTATTTCTATTTATTCCTCTTCTCCTCTCCCCCCCCCTACTTCAAACAGTG